GGTAAGTGGAACGCGACTCGCGATAAAAGTCTCGCCGCCATGTTTATTTTTGTTTTTTACTTTTCTTTTAAATACTCGCGCGCTCGCGCCATTCGCAGCCATGCCTCGCGCGCCAAAAAAACTGTATAGAGCCACCTTAACTGGTCGCAGAAACGATTTCCTAGCCTTCGTCCAGTCTCACCAATGTATAACATTATGCACAGAGTGTAAGTTATGCAGTAGAAGACATTGGAAAATGTGGAAGCGAAGCGATCGATGATCTCAATTGAGACTTTCGGACCTAAGACGTTGACAGTGTTGTGAACGAAAGGACGAGTTACATCGCGCGCGACTCAGACGGTGTTTTGGAGACATAATTCACTCCTAACACAGATTCGTCCTGATTAATATTTTGGCTCGATATTCGCGCCAACTGTCTTACGCACCCTTACTGCGCACATGGTTCATGTCGCGACTCACGCGCGCGCATGGAACGTGCTAAAAAAGAAGAAACAAGTATAGGGCTTGGTACAGGTTGTGTTAACTTCACTTAGAGCGGGCGACCAGTCTTCTCTTTTCATAGATCACTCCATTACTGATTCTATACATTATAACAAAACACAAAAGCAATCGAATCGCAATCGATTTTTTCATCCCTAAGGGTATGGATCTTCTATAAAGTGGAAAATATTGCTGAATAGGCCACTTGTATCGAACGTTAGTTCAGGGGGCAAATGGTACAGAAACGTCCTGAGAACGTTTCCAGAAAATCTGAAACTTGTTGAATTTCAGAACGCGAACCATTCAACCGAAAATTCCGGAAATTCGAAGAAGAAAATCAAATGGAACGGAAATTCCCGTTAACAAATTTCCGATAATTTTGATATACATGTACCTCGCGAAGTTGTCCTCTTTACCCAAAATTCTGGAAAATACTATTCCATTCGCCACTGTAAATTTCCGGAAATTCAAACCGGAATTTTTGGTCGAATGGAGGGCGCCCCAAATCTCCGAGCGAGTCAACTTAATTCTCTTTTCACATCGCGTCTCAGTGTGGAACGCAGAGTTTCACATTTGATAGGAACTTTGTAGATTATTTGAAAATTGCTGTTGACAAAAATATTTCCACAAAAAACAAAAGGTTTTCCTCGCCGACACCCTATGGTAAACTCCAAAGGGAACCACCCCCTTTTGTGGGTACCCAAGCTTATCCTTCTGTTGGAGCTTGCATTCTTCATGTTATCCTGTTTTCTTTCTTTTGGTAGGATGTGTTCGTCAGAGTGATTCGACAAGAAGGACTTTTCTCACTGTGGAAAGGATTTACACCGTACTATTTCCGTCTTGGACCACACACTGTTCTTACCTTCATCTTCCTTGAACAACTTCAAAAGATGGCAAGAAACCACTATGGCGTCTCTTCCAGTCTGTAAAAACACTCAGATTAGAAAGATGCCGTGTATCATTGATGACTTTTTGAGACTATTTGATCGTGAAAAAAATCTTAGGGTGTTGTCTCGGGTTGACTCAGCTTTCCATCTTCCAACAAACGAACACCGTTGTCTCTCATTTCCTCTGGACTTTTTCCACCTTGACAAGATTGACTCCAGATATTTTTGTACAAAAATGACAGACACGCATAGGTCACGAAATCAAAATTTGGTAACACTAGTATTCCTTTCAATTAATTAAAATTGTGCGATGGGTAGACTTTTCATAATTATGGCGGTAATGGTATTTAATGCATAATGTTATTTTGGAAGTTCAGCGCACAAGGTTTTGACCTGCTGATAGCGTTATTGTCAGGCATTCACACTCTTGACATCCGAGGAAATGTCAAGTAAATGAAAGCTATATTGTAAAGATATAATTGATAACTTGATTGTTTATTTAGTTCTGTTGCAAGTAAATCCAGTTTCATGAAACTTTCGAATTTTTACTTACTTTTCGAGCACGTTTTGATCTGAGCGGAGACGGGAAATTTGAATTTTAGCTTCCAATTGATGAAGTTGTGAAGAGAGAGACACCGCTGAAGACAGAGAGAAGAAAACAATTACCCAAGTTTAACTGCCAAACATCTTCAATCTGTTTTGAAGATGCCTGTCTCGAACTATTTACAACTTCTAAATTTTTGTTGTTTGGATAAAATAGTTCTAAAATTGATGAATAGTTTGGTTAATTGTCATATGGCAAGGTTTGAAAATGCAGCAATCACGGACATATCAAGCGGGTAATAGCAGCTCTAAAACGAAATAGGTACATAATAACGCTATCACAGTTCACATGTTTCAGCTGAGTTAGAGGGTGACCTTTAGCTTATTTCTTATCTTGTCGTGTTGCACAGTTTGACACAAACTGGGAATTCATACCCAACTTTTCCAAGTTGATTTTAAATGGCTGCATGGCAAATACAAGTCTGATAAAGAGATTGAAATGCTTTATATGTTTTCAATGAACGAAAGTGTGAACATCGATTCCATTCACACATTGTCGGTTTTACGTTGACATGTTGTCTGTAGACAAAACTGGATTTTTATTATCTCACTGCGTTTACATATATTTTCTTTTTCGTACAGTACGCCAAGGACTTACCAGAAATTAAAGGTTTTTCCCTTCAAGTTTTTTTTTTTTTATTGCAGGGAATTATCAATAACACTTAGTTCAGAGAAACAATGTTTGTTTTTGTAGTTATTTTGAAAGCCTATAAACTGTTTGTATTGTAAGTGATCTGGTGTTTAGCGTAAAGAATTTTTCTTGAATTGTCTTCCGCATCAACAAGGTAGGTAGTCTGCCCGAGAGTTTAGCAGAACAAGCTCAGAATTAGAAAGAATCTTGTAGGCATGCCATCAAAATTTCAACCACGAATACATAAAGACGCTCAAGAAGAACATTGATTTCATCATTTGGAATATCAATTACTGTTACATAATTAGATCGTAATGATTTATTCAGATTTGAGGTGCTTAGCGAGGTGAACCGCAAGTCAGCGAAAAGGACATCGATTTCTCCGACACAGAAATTATGTTTGTTAGTGGCAAAGTGGTCAAGGATTGTAACTACTCGTGTAAGAGGGAAAGAAACGCTCCAAAGAGCTGAACGAATGTTTACAGCAGCCTAATGCGCAGTGCAATGATACAAATATGTTTTAGTCCGGCCAAATTGAACTCATGAATTTGAAATGGCTTTTGGCTTCTGAAGGAATGCGAGCGTTACAAGCATAAATTTAGTGCAGTGCAGTGCAGACAGGAAAAATATGGAGGGACTTCTCACCTTGGGCCTTGATTCCAACGAAAACGAACCTGAACTTACAACAGTGGCGAACAGGGTTAGTTCGGTTCGTCTCATGTCCGGCTCCAATGACGCACACAGAGGGCCAAGGGTTGTAATAAATATTTCTGGACAACGATACGAGACGTACGTAAAGACGCTTGAATCGTTTCCTGAATCACTTCTTGGAGACAAAGAAAGAAGAAAGGACTTCTATGATCCTGTCAACAATGAATATTTTTTTGACCGCAACCGTATTTGTTTCGAGTCGATACTAGCTTACTATCAAACAAACGGAATCCTAATACGGCCACCTAACATCCCTCGAAAGGTATTTATAAGCGATGTCCGCTTCTTTGATCTCGGAGCAAAGGCTCTAGTTCAAGCCGGCGATGGTTTAGAACAGCCCACCGAGACAGCTCAACGTCCTTTACCGAAAAATAAACTACAGAGGAAAGTCTGGGAGCTGTTTGAACATCCAGACACCTCAAATTTCGCGCGAGGAATCGCAATTTGGTCTGTGTGTATAATTGTTCTATCGATAGTTCTTTTCTGCGTGGAGACTTTGCCACAGTTTCAGGAAGATCCTGCTCAAAAAACAAACGAAACGACGAATTCTGCAACGTCAAAAAAGAAAACAGACGATCCGTTCTTCGTGATTGAAGCCTTTTGTATTGGCTGGTTCAGCTTGGAGTATGTCATTCGCCTTGTGTTTAGCCCCAGCAAGTGGAAATTTTTCATCTCAGTTTTGAACATTATCGACCTAGTGTCGATTATACCATTCTATATAACTTTGCCCATGGAGGACTCGGCCAACGTTTCCTCACTCGCTGTTCTTCGTTCCGTACGACTTGTGCGAGTTTTCCGAATTTTTAAGCTGTCGCGTTACTCGCGAGGACTTCAAATACTTGGGCACACGCTGAAAGCAAGTTTGCGGGAATTAGGGCTGCTGTTTTTCTTTCTTTGCATGGGAGTTGTTTTGTTCTCCAGCGCTGTTTATTACGCAGAAATCAGCAATGAGGATGGAAATGATTTCCTAAGTATTCCTCATTCATTTTGGTGGGCCATTATCACCATGACCACTGTAGGCTATGGAGACATAACACCCAAGACTCTAGGTATGTACTGTCCTTGCTTACAGTTTGAAATATTTACAATTTAGATTTAAGTAACTCTCGGCACATTAAATTAAAACTTGCCGTCGGAAATAATTATTATAAGCAACTGTCCAGTCTTGATTCAACAACCACCAGTAAAAGCATTGTCACAATTGAATAGATATAAAGTTATCTATGAATAAGCCGTTGTTTAAATCCTTTGTTTATATCTGTTGGCAAAACTCAAGCTGGTTTTCATTCATGTATAATCACAAGGCAAACACAGAAGACAGAACCTCCGGCCAAAATGAACTGCATCTAAATTTGCAACTTGTTAAGCATTATTCCTTGGCCACGGAGGCAATACCATTCAACACGTAACATAGCTTGTTTTGTCACGAAATTTCAACTATCTAAGTCTTCATCTAAATGACACGACCTAGTGCTCTTGGAACTCTCGCGTAACAATGCTTTATTTACATCCGAGATATTTTGGACACAAACACCGCAGGCAATGATTTAAAATTCCTACTCTGTATTTAAGTATGCCATTTACATCTTGAAACGGCTCTTTTAAGTCGTCTTTTTTAGCGATTTTCAACTCTACACCAGTTTTGATTTTGGAGACTTTACTCTCGTGGAAAGTGATTTTCTTTTGAGTTTTGAGAATTTGTTTTTATTACTGCGCAATTAAGAAAGGCTTTGAAAAGGCATTGCTATAGTTGCTGTATCCAAACAGGCACGGTCATAGTTTCTTCACTGAAAAGCACGCACACCTGTTTGATTTTTCCGTTTCTTGATAAAGACTATCAAGGTTTCTTGCTTTGTCGAATGGTTTCAGCCACAGTCTAGCAGTCAACAATTTAACCCATAAACCTGCCATAAACCGCTAAATAAACCCCCAAAACAACCACCAGCAATTTGGATTCAATTTTCTCAGGTTAACCATGTTCAGAAATTTTTAGCATCCGTCATTTCAAACGCAGATAATTTGAGTGGAGTGTACGTTTTGGACAAAAAGTTGGAACGTTTGGCCTTTGTGGTCGCGTGTTCAGCTTCATATATTAGGCTTGACACTTTTTTACATCATGATAACAGCCTTCCTTGTATATGAATGGCTGAGAGTTGAAGTAGAACTGAAAGGAATTATCAATTCCATATTTCCGAAACCAACTAACGAAGTAATAATACACAATGAACAAAACTGTGCTTGATTGATTAACATTTTGTTCTTTAGTTCTTCACAAATGATTTACGTGATGGGCTGAAAAGCACCAGAAGAGCAATACAAAGACTCTGATTCGGTCGGTTGGGAATTTAGTTGAGAGGGAGAGTTGAGCAGTCGGGAGAGAGAGAACTGCTCCGTAAAAACCAGCGATAGAAAAGAGGAATGGGGGAGAGAATTGTTGAGTGTTTTGAGGACTCTTTCTCTGGTAGCAGTTTTATGGTGTGAAAAATTAAGAGTGTGGCAAACAAACTTGGTAGATATCAGGAGGAGCCGGTACAGTTCCTGTGGATAAATAACAAACCTTGCCTTGACGACCTTGACCACAGGTACAAGGCTAATATACTCTTGCTTCCAGGTGCCTGAGTGACGTCATTAATCTCGCCAGTCGTCCACACTGACCAGTAGTCGAAATCGCTGATTGTTTTCATCGTAAACGCAACATGTAGATTTAGATTTTTATTATTTTACACTTTACAGAGTCGACAGATTTGAAAACGGAGTCAAAGAAAATAGCCCATGTTACAGCCTTCCTCCCCGAAAGAAAAAAATCGAGGTGAGGGGGAGTGCCTGTAAGCTCCTGTAACACGGGCTACAAAGGAATCGAAACGGTCGGGGCCTTCGTCTAGTCATCGTTGATTTTATGATGTAACTTAATAAACCGCTGATATCGCGACCAAGAGTCTACTGCAAATGATTTCTTGATCAAATTCACAGTGCAGTTTTCAGATTATTTTACCAAAACTGCATTGATAGTCGAACAAATTTGAAAAGTTAAAAACGTCTTTCGCCAGGCCAGTGTTTTGTCTTTCTCAAGTTTAAAGACTATGAAGACCGGTTTTTTTGAAATAGAGTTATACGCCGAAATTGGTTTGCTTGAGATTGTTTTTAGACTGATAACACTTTGTAAAATGGCGGGAAAATCGGCAACTGGTCTTTTGAGATCTTCTTGCCAAGTACCTTCATTCATCACGTAATTAAGTAAGCTGCTCTATAGAAATAGTGTTTTTTTTCTTTTTATTTAGTGTAAAGTTAGGTACCTTTAGGTACAGGTCTGGTACTTATGCTGTTGATTATCGCGTTTTACACTAATCTCGTACTGATGGTCTCCTGTTGAACTGGCCGTGAGTGAAGTAAGCGATCTTGGAATTTATATTTATTGGATTGGAATTCCAAGGTCGTAATGTCCGCCTGATGAATTAAAGAAGAGCATGCTTACCGTGCTACAGATATCCGTAAGTTTTCCATTGATTCTCTCTATCTTGTCCACTCTTGCAGGTGGAAAGTTAGTTGGGTGTTTCTGTGCCATCACAGGCGTGTTAGCCATTGCTCTCCCTGTCCCGGTCATAGTGTCTAACTTTGCTTATTACTACTCAAAAGAGAACGGCAGGCAATCAAATATAGACGACGAAGAGGAAGAAGGTGAAATAGAAGAGGAACGTGAGGCCAAGGAAAGCGAAACAAAGAAGAAAGGCCTACTACTTAATTGCACTGGAAAGAAATCCCAAAAGAATAAAGGGGATGTAAAACAAAGAAAGAGGAGCCGAAAGTATGGAACTGTAAAATTTCCAGATACAATGTATAATGCCATAGGCTCCAATGTTAACATGGATCATCCAAATGGCCTGGCAAACTCCACCACTGTAAGTGGGAAAAACAACTATCAAAACCACGGAAAGAAGACTTCTCTGTCACAAGTAGAAACAATTGTCTAAGAAGAATTTAGAGATAATGACAGGAGATGTATGAGCTCGGAGTCTACTGGTTCGAAGAGACTAACGTGAATTGGCGCTCTGCCCAACGGGATATCACCGTGAACCTACATGACAAACTCTGCTTTCCGCTGAAGTTGTACGACCATTTTGACGTGTTTAGCTGTCGGTCTAGCCTAGTAGAAGCTGCAGTCCGTTATGGTCTTAGCTGCTTTTTAGTCTTGTAGAGGAGCTTTCTGAAAAAGCTCAAGCTGCAGAAACAAGACTGCCGAAACAACGCAAATAGCTGATGCTTTTCCCTTTTTTTTTGCAATGATTTTGGCGTGTAGACAGAATTAGGCGCCGACGAGTTTGTAGTTGATTGGTAAAATGCCGACCGTTTTACTTAACAACCGTCAAAGGCAATGCACTTTGTACGTTGTGTTAGTCTTTGCGTTTGATTTTTGGACTTCTTTTTAATTATAACTGAGAATAAATCACAACCCAGTGTCTATGTTTTGAGTTTTTTATCACGGAAACGTGATTCCCCTAGAGTGCAAATCAATGGATCATGAGATAACCGAGAGCGAGCATAACTTGACTGCAATGAAGAATGCCGCGAACTGGCAACCGCCGCGCTGTAAGCTATCGGGTAACGTGATTGAAGACATTCATACGCTGACACGAGAGACTGAAAACGTGTAGCCATGGGTTGAAACCGTCTGACCCTTGTCCCGTCCTCGTCCCTTCACCCTTGCTCCGCCTCTCCGTGATTTTCCAAAAAAAAAGAAAGAAAGAAAGAAAAGAAATATATAAAACAGACTACAATCAGTCTAATGAGTACCTCGGGGGGCCGATTGAAAACAATGTAACGYGGCCATACCCTCGRCCTCTCTTCTTCAGATCGTGCGTACGAGTAAAAATTTAAACCAGCGATAGTAGCAAGAAGGGAATCAGGAAAATTGAGACACTGCTCATTCAAAGATAACCTGCGACCAAACGTTCTGTTTTTCGCAGAGGCGGGAGAGAGGGGGAAAAATCGAATCTCTCTCCCGCGTTCCTTCCCATATCGCGCTCCGCTCTCTTCACTCATAATCTGGGGTGGAAGGAGGAAAGGGGGATGGAGAGCTTATTCAAAGGCTAACGCAGTCGGAAGAAGGTATTCGGAAAGATAAGGGAAAAGGCAAACAGTGATTGCGTTGAGAGTTTGTTTTTCCTGGTAAATAGGTAAGTGACAAGGGTCTGTGACACGATGATGCTCATGTGCCACTTTGATTGACACTGGAAGATCAACTGAAAAGTTTTTAACATGGATCAAAATGGTAAACTAACACTTATAGCAAAAGAGTGCAGCCAGTCTTTCGTTTGAAAGCTATACTGAAAGTAGCCGGCGGTACAAGAAGCGTGGAACTAAATCCTCTTTATTCATTCGACCTTAATTTTACGGACCCTTTCGGACAGTTTACCTCTTGGAGATAGCGTCTTTTGATTTCCATGAAAACCAGCTCCTCCCCTCTCCTCACCCCGTAGGAAGGTTTGATTGCTCAGGAATAAAGATAATATGTGACTATAAAAACTCTTGAATGCAGAGGACCACGCGACGAAAAATTCAACTGCTTGACAAGCACATCTCGCTTGCTCCAGGGCTTTTGCTCAAGAAATGCGATGGGCTCCTGGAATTGCTCGTGCTCGACGTCACTCGCTCGCTAATTGTAAATAAAACCAAATTTATTGCAAAGCTGGTACTATGGCAAAGGGCCCTAATATACTGTTTCACCGCCCGGCCTTTTTCCGCCCTGCGTTTTACCTTGGAATCAATTTTGATCTATACTATGTGCCCGTTATATGACGTATAGACTGATATAAAATTGCCACTGCTCCAACTTGCGCCAGCAATCAAAGCCGGTCACATGGACTGTCTAGTACATGAGTCGAGACGAAGATTTCATTAGACTTTTACAGGATTTTATATTTTCTGTGAGGATTCTTGGCGTACTTTGCTATGAATGGTACGGAGAAGCAGCAGAAAACCACGAAATCCTTCAAACTCTCATCTTATCTGTTGGCGTTGCGACCATGGTCATTTTCGGCGTCGTTTATCCCTGTGGTTTTAGGGGCAGTGATATGTTGGAAAACAACCGGTAACTTTAGCTTCATTTTACTCCTTTTAACAATGGTGTCGGTTCTTGGGGTACACGCTGCCGGAAATCTAGTCAATACTTATTACGACTACATGAAAGGAGTTGACAGTAAAGTTTCCGACGACCGTACTTTGGTTGATCATCTTTTAACACCGAAAGAAGTTGTCAACTTGGGTGTCGTGTCATACGGCCTTGCCAGTTTTGCCCTCGTGTTTCTGGTCGGATTATCACCAGCAAAAATGGAGCATTTGTCATTCTTGTTCTTCGGAGGCCTCTCTGGTTCGTTTTTATACACTGGAGGTGTTGGGCTGAAATATTACGGAGTCGGTGACATTGTAATAGTGATCACGTTTGGTCCTTTGGCCGTGTTGTTTTCTTATCTAACACAATGTGGAAGCGTGGCGCTGTTTCCGTTGTTTTACGCTATTCCTGTGGCTTTGAGCACAGAAGCCATTCTACATAGCAACAATACAAGAGACATGGAGGCAGACAAAAAAGCAGGAGCTGTAACTTTGGCAATTATTCTTGGCCATCAACTATCATATGCACTTTATTGTCTTCTCCTGCTTGCCCCTTATGTTATATGTGCAGTGCTGTCTGTTAACCTGTCTGTACGTTTCCTTGTACCTCTTACCACGCTTGGAATGGCTTTTAAACTGGAAAAAAGCTTCAGAGAAGGAAAACTAATGCTACTGCCACGACAGACTGCTAAACTGAATTTAATGTTTGGTTTGTTGTATATTGTTAGTTGTACAGTAGCGCCATTAAGCCTTCACATTAAGTGATTTGACTCCGCTGTGAGTAGTTCTTTCGGTGCGTTCTTTCAGGTTATTTACAACAAACAGCATGGTGACTCATGGTCGGCAGAATTGCAAAAAGAGTGGTAAATGAACAAGTGGGATAATTTGTTTGAATTGGATAGAACTGCCATTTTTGGCAAATCTACCTTCAAATAGTAACTGAATTTCCAATAATTTAATATTTCTATGCAAACAACAGACAGTGAAAAAAAGAAAAATCTGAAGGTGTCAATATTGTTGCCATAGACACAACTCAATGGGTATTGAAAAACCTAGTAACTAAATTGAACTTGTGAATGTAGAGATTTATGCACAAATCTTCTCAAAAATGTTTTTTTT